GTTGTCTCTCTCTCTTCTCTCTCTCTCTCTCTCTCTCTCTCTCTCTCTCTCTCTCTCTTTATGCATGAGTGCCATGTGGTACAGGTATACTTCCACCATCCATGTTTATTTATACTCCCCACCTACTTATGAATTTGGGTTTTTTCTCTCTCTCTCCTCATTGCCCCTCTTTCATCCACGTTCTCTTTCTCCTCCCTTAAGCCTTTTAAACCTCCCCAAGCCTTAATCCCTCAAGCTTGAACCCAATCCATTGGAGCTTGACATTCAAGGTGAAGCTGGTGGAACACTTTGGAATTTCGATTGGAGTAGGTGGATCGAGTTTCCATGGCTTCATGCTTATGTTAATGCATTATCATTACCTAATCAAAATATGAAACTCAAGTATGAGTATGGGTGTGAGTGTGAGTCCGAGTGCAAGTGCGAGTGCGGGTGTATGCTGCTGAAATTCTTTTAAAGTGTGTTCTGATTCCAGAATGATGACCCTTGTTTGACAGAACGTTTGGGTACTTTAAACCTCGCCTTAGACCATGAAGTTTGGTAGGTAAGTAGCCTATTGAATCTATTTCAGTATGTAAAAGACCCCTTGTTAATATCTTGTTTGATTTGAAAGGTATTGACCATTTTCTGAAGCATGCCAGATTTGTGAAGTAAAATTCCAGGGATTTAACTTGTTTTTGTATGAAGTTTTTCATTGATCAAAATATACTAGAATGAGGTCAAACCACTTTAAAATGACAGATAGATGAATCTATTTTGAAATTGGTTTTGGAATCATGATAAAATTCCATGTGGTTTGAAAGTTATAGTTATTTTTCTATTAGGTTGTCACCCTAGAGTTTCTGCAGTGTAAAAAAGAACCTTCACCCAAGAACATCAAACAGTTTGACAAACTTTATACCAATATTTGGGGTTACCCCTTATACGAAAGTTGTCTTTTCATGAGCCTAGATTGTCATAAGATTGGTTTCAGGTTTAAATGATCTTTGAATCTCATGATATGCTTTTAAAGGTGGACTGTGTTCATATTGAAAAACCAAAAAAATAACGTTGTGATGTCTATTGCATTGATATACAGTATGATATTGACATAATGATGTCTCTTGAACTAATGAGCATGATGATATGATTATACACATAGCATGCTTTGGACATATTGATGTTTCATGTGAGTAGATGTATAGCATGCATATGATATGATATCTGTTGATGGTCACATGTTGTGTGCGTGGACTCATGCTTATGATATGATATGTGTTGATGGTCACATGTTGTGTGCGTGGACTCATGCTTATGATATGATATGTGCTGATGGTCACATGTTGTGTGCATGGACACATGCTCATACTTATGATATGATGAGAAAAATTGTGCCAGTAGCTAAGATCTTTCCCTGGCTCTCTATGATATGATGAGAGTTACAATGCAAGTGTTTGGGAGGGTCGCACCCCCCAAAATCTAAGTGAGACTATCCATTGGGACGCTTTGGTAGTGTAACACCCTCCCGCCAGAAGGGCACAAGGAGAGGATCGTGTCTTGTAAGGCCACTGCTTATCAAAAGCCCCAAAACGTGCTGGGGTTGTGTGTGTGTAAGGTACTACACAATGGAATGACCCGTTGGTGGTGTTTCCCTCCTGGTGTAATGGTAGAAGTTCTAAGCATCGAAATTTGATTGGCTTAATGGATAGGGCTTCTACTTCAGGAGTTAGGTAGTATCTCTTGATATGGTTTATGCGTGATATATATTTGCCTAATTATGTTGATCGTTAAGATGTTCATGTTTGAATGATTTGATCGACTTCTGATTCATATCATATTTGATTAATCTGATTTGTCATTGCTCCACCATGAAACGAATCATGCACGACACATTGTTACATACGATTTTTGACACATGGATCCATGTTTTATAAGACTTGCATAACACCCTGAGTATTGTTATGAGATAATATGCGTAGGTAGGAAAGCATGGCACCTTGATCTATTTACTGGGATTATAGCTCACTTTTTTAACTTTCCTCTATGTAGAGTGATAGCCAGTAGGTTTTGGAAGGACGTTCTGAAGATCGCCGTTGGAGCCCGTACTCCCTTCTTGTGGAAGCTTCTTTGTACTTATGGTTTAGTTGGTATATTGGCCTTAAGGTCCACTTTGTATTGGAATTATGTCATGTTGAATGGCCCTTTTGTACCTTGGACCCAATTGTACTCACTATTTGGGAACTATCATATGCTTTTTTAGGACTTGTTTGTCCATCAGTTCATGGTTATGTGTTTTGTGCTTAGTTTTTCTTTTCTTTTGTGGTTGGCTTTTATCTTTTCATTATAAAGCGTTGAGCGCACTACAACTCGAGTGGCTTTCGCTCCCTGTGGTCGTGACCCCATGTCTTATTATCCTCTGTGGGTCTGACAAGGACGGTAGGGGGCGGGGTTGTGACACTTTGCTAATTGAAGATAAAGTGTGTAAGTATAAGAAGCCACTGGAGTTTGCTTTCTACAAGACACAGGAGTGAGGGTTAAGAGTTATCTATTCGGGGAGATGTAGTCGATTGGATACTGCTGCTAAGATGGAATCTTAAGCTTTTTTGGGTGGTTTCAGCTATATATTTTGGAGTTCTTATGAGTACCGCAGATGCCGTGTTTTAAACAACAATTTTTTTGTCTTTTTTTTTTTCCTCTTTTTTCTTCTAGAGTGTTGTGGTCTTGAAAGCCCTCCTGTATGCTGCTAAAACCATTTATGAAATCGTTGTCTAAAATGTGGATGAGAATATTCAAGCCATACATTTGTAGATGAAGAAAGTTCCCCCAAAGAGCTTGCATACCTTTTCAGTTAATCTCATTAAAGTAAAATTGCTAGTTGGTCCAAGGCATCGAGATTTAATCCTCGCTATTATCCATTTATTAGGAAAAGCGGATGATTAAATACTGTTGCAATGACTTGAGAAACACATATATGGAGGATTTAGAACATGGAACTATCCTGAACTGGTTCCTAATTAACTTGGATTTTCATTGTTTGGTTAAAAACATTTTTCCTTCTGTGAAGTAGAACCAAATAGATCATTGCTTTAGTGGAGGCCAGTGCCGCGCCAGTGATTGTCTAGGGCCCATGTAAAAAGAGCGATGATATCAACTTCAACCATAAATATTATTTCTATCTAATGGTCAATCGGGAATGTGGAATAAGGTCTTGCTTGTTACATGGAATTACAGCCCAAAAGATGAACCCCCATGCGACTAATTCCAACCTTGACAGCCCAGAACTTTGAAAAGTAACTATGGTGGGAATACAAATGAAGCCTTAGCAAGTAGGTGTCTGGGGAAGTTTATACTATTACACAAAATGTTATACATTTGTATCATTTCGAATTGGGGCCCCTAGCTCAATGGTTAGGCTGGAGAGACCATAGGCTAATGTCAATTGTTGAGCGTTCTAATCCCACCATTTACCAACCCAAAAATAAATATGTTCACACAAAACACACATCATCATCATCATCATCATCATCATCATCCCAAACCTTATCCCAACTACTTGGAGTCAGCTCACACATAAAAAATAAAAATTTCAAAAAACGGGGTAAGGGTGGGAGGAGGGGGGGAAGCTAACAGAATTATCATAAAATGCTATATAACTATTCTAGGACATGAATTCAAATTGGACTAGAGCATGAGGCTTCTTGGCTAGGGATTAGAATCAGATGGACGTATATGAGCAGTATTAGCATTCCAAAAGCAAAGACATTAAGAACAATTCCATTAACATGATATCGTAATCCTTATTAGTACGTGTATTTGCCATGAAACCTGATTTGCTACCATCAATCAGAAAATGAAGTTATCCATGCGCATAGCGAGACAAACTGGGGGTAACTAGATTTGTAGACTTAGATGTAACCAAGGTAAGGTTTAGGGGTTTAATCATTTAATGCCATCATAGCTCTCTTGCGTGTCCTGGCTCCAGGAGGTGTTATCACCTTTCCAGAGGTGGTCAACTTCCCAATACCCCTTACTGGTGATCCGCCACCAGAGTTCGTCCGTCTCAGTTGCTCACACTCTTCTGCAAAAATATGGCAGCACGTACTTATTGACCTTTGTAAACTCCAAGCACGTGGCCCAAGCTGTGCAAATGTGCCTCGGGAGCCAGGTCTCAAGATGGGTCCCCAACTGGTCCATCTTCCTACGGCCGGCTTTCCTAAGCCGCTTCTCAGAGAACACCAAAAAAGGACACCCTTGGTCCAGCCCGTGCTGTCGGGCAAATCAATGAGGGAAATACCCCTCAAGCTTAGCACTGTGAATGGTATGATAAGGTAGCACCCCGCCTCTCACACTCAGCATATACATCAGCTCCTTATGGGTGGTAGGAGCACCATCTAGGCTCTTACCCAGCTCATCGGCAAAAACACGATCTGTGAGGTTCCCAATCGGGAAGGCCAGTCTACTCATATGAAGATGGTCATTGTAGAGCAAGCTACGTGCATGACCAGGAGTATGGAATATCGCTTTCTGCCCAGCAATCCTCAAGAGAAATGGGCACATTGTTTCATCCAACACCCTATTTCTAAGGTAGGTGTTGGAGAAATAAGCCCCAAGCCAGCCATACACATAGTGGAGGGGAAAAGGCCTCTTGAAATCCCCTGGGAATACCTCACCGTCCACTGTGCCGTTCCCGCCTTCATCGTCCTGGTAGATCTTTCCCCGGTAAACGGCCCCCAAGCCGTAGTAGATGCGGCACAAGACCGGCTGTGCGAGCGCATACTCCCGCCCCCGTACATGTCACAAGCTACGTAGAAAGTGCCTGGACGAATAATGTTCGCTCCGCCAGGGAGAGCGAAGTTGCACAAGAAGAGCACTAGGTACGCCGCCAGAAAGATGTGGCCGTTGCCTCTATGCAGCTCAAATACCGGAGGGGCTCCCTCTGTAGGTGCCTTCCGCTTCCTTCTCGCGCTTGGACCTGCCACATCAATCATTTCGAAATTTCAAACTCAATCCTAATACTCAAAGACAGGTTTTATACTTAAATAAAAAAATAAAGAACAAGAAATTGTTTCTAAATCTCATCCTAGAGCGAAATGTGAGTCATGCCACTGAGAATGAACTTCAACAGGACTTCAATGCCACCCCATGGCAATGAATTTACACTAAGTCCAAAAACTAGTTACAATAATAATATAAAACTCTCAAAAGATGGACTAAGAGTTCATGGCAAGGAATCAACATCAGAACTTCCAAGAAAATAGAAGATAAAAGCATATACGACGAAATTTTCTTGATTGGTCTAAACTCCAATCTAAAAGTAACCCGAAAACAGCGAAGTATCAACAACTACCTTTTCTATGGCAGATCCAGGAGACTTCAAAGAAAAAATCTACCACCAAAAACTTACAGACGAATAAACAGACACAGACGTATGAGTGTGCTTCAGAACTAAACAAATAATTAAGCAGATAATAAGTGGATTAAAAACAAAAAGGGACTTACTTGATTCTATCAAAGTTCATTCCCATGCGCTTACCCCCATCCTGCCCTATACAATTCAAATAACCAAAATTATTTCATTTGTAAAATCCAATAACCAATAATCATAAATAACATACACAGAAAAGAGAAATCCAATAATTACAAAAACACGATTGTATGTTTATAAAAATTAAAAAACACAAATGTCAAGATAAGGGTAAAAGCGAAAGCACTCAATACGCAATTTTAACAACCGAATACTTGAAATGGAAGTAAAGAAATAAATAACCAATAAACCAACAAAAATGGAACAGGAAAATGATCCAAAAAAAAAAAACCGAATACTTGAAATGGAAGTAAAGAAATAAATAACCAATAAAAATGGAACAGGAAAATGATCCAAAAAAAAAAAATCAAACAAGTACCTGGTAGTGGCTTGTAGTAACCTAAAACTTCATGGTGTTTTCCATCTCTTGGTGACCTACTATCAGCCGCCATTATTCGATAGAATGGCCTGTTTTTGCATCCAAATCTCGATAACCGCAGCCTCACCACCATTTCTTACTATAAGAAAACACCTTCGCAAAGCCGGTTCAGGGAATGACTTCAGAGTTTTTTAATATTAAAATAAATATAAATTACAGACATATATAAAAAATTAACTATAAGAAATTTCAAAAATTTAATCCCCGGAAAAAGATTGCTGGAAAAATCTATTTCTTGTGAAATATATTTTGGAAAATTGTTTCATGCAGGCTGGACTGCATTTCTACATATGCGGTCCAGAAGTGTAAAGCATCCATCTTAAAGATGGATGCAAGTGGTGGTCCATCTAAAAACAATGGAAACTAACTGTCCAAATGTTTTCTTAATAAAACTAATATTTAAAATTTTTAAAATTAATTTATTTTTTCATATTCATGATCTCCATGTTAGCGATTACATGTTCGTAAAAATTAAGTCCAAAAATCCATCTGAAAAATAGGTTTTTAAGAGGCACAACATTTCTATATATGCGGGCTTGGACCGCTTGCTAACCACGTCCATATATGTTTTGGGAAAAGTATTTCCTGTAAAATGAATTTATGATGTTTGGATAGGGAAGACAGAATTCTGCTAGCATTACTTTTACCTGTAATTATACTCAAATTTTTTTATTAGGATAAATGTATCATGCTTTACCACAATATTTTAATGTCTTTTTTTTTTTTACTTTTTTTAAAAATTTTTACCTAGTAGATTTTAATGTAGCCGACCAGGATTCGTGTAGCTGACCACAAATAGTTGGGAAAGGGTTCTTACGATGATGATGAAATTTTAATGTATTGGCACGATATTATGTTACCCAAATATTTTTTTTATTTCTCAAAAGTCACTTCTTTACACAAGATTGCAAAAAGAACATAAGTAAAGAAGGCACTATTTGTTAGGTTCTTAATTATTATTGATGTCACTACAAAGAAAACTTACAGTCAGATTGCTCATCCATCTCAAGTTGTTTAATCTCACAATGTCCTCATTAAATTAGTTTGGAAGCAGCCAATTTTCACTCTCTTTGTTTAAACAATAACCAGGATCTAAAGTAGAAAACCCAACTAAAGCTGGAAAATTTAGATCTTCCCAATTGGATTCATTAAGTTCCAAAAGATGGTTAAAGCTCCAAGGTGATCAAGAAAAAAGTTGAGGCTTCAAATCTAACGAAAGAATACCTACCTTGGTAGCAGGAATACCATTCACGAACAAGACTTATATAACCAAGCCTCAAGTTTTTTGAAAAAGCTTTCTTTAGAATATCAGGTTGGTTAGGGGAAACATACATAACTAAACCTCAAAGTCCTTTGAAAGATTTCTCTAAGAACTTCATGTTGATTATTCTGGGGAAACTTATGACAGCATATAGGAGTTCTTTTGGGAAGTTAGTGTCCTTGGACAATCTAAATTCATGCTTTATGTTCTCAACCTTAGATTATATAGAAAAGAGTTGACAGCCAAAATTGTCCTCAGAGATTTCTATAAAATATTTTAAGGTGCCCACATGCAATATAAATACCCAGAGTCAATTTTGACCTTTTCTATCCTTGATTAAATCCTTTTCTCTCCCAAGGATCTGCAGCATTAAGGTAAACTATAGCATCTTTCATGAGACAATGACTTATCTTCCCATCATGTTAGTGCTGTTTTAATTTGTAGGTCTGTATAATGTAGAAGCACATGAGAAATTACAACTGACATAAACAGTATGATTAAGTAATGGGTGCAGTTGGCATACGGATGCATCCGTAGCGGTAGAGTAAGGTAGGTGCA